AAGTTGGATGGGGGGGAAGGAGGAGGAGGAGGAGGAGGAGGAGGAGGAGGAGGAGGAGGAGGAGGAGGACCCACTCCCCCTCCAACTTATGGTGGTGGTGATGGAAAACACGCCCATCAAGGACGCCTCTGGACTCTGGCGGAGGCCGCCCCCCCCGCGGAGAGTTAGAGCTGGATCCTCCGGCGTGGTAGAACAACGACGGGGTCGAACTTCGCGGGCGACGGCTGAGCCGGAGGCTCCCGGCCGAAGGCGACAAACCCCGGGCCCGGAGGCGCTCCAGGCCGCGGCCTTGGGGGAGGCGGGCCCGCGCGCCCGCCCCGGGGCACGTGCGCCCCGGGCGATCGGTCCAACGGGAGGCAGGGCGATATGACCATGGCCGGGCGGCACGGCGCTTGGAGGGAGGCCCCGCGCCCGTCGGCGGGCACGGCAGCCCCTCCGCCTCTGCGGGCCGCTCTGCAGCCCCCTGCCCGCGCCCATCTCCCCCCTCGAGTTCCCTGCCCCGCGAGGCCTGACACCCCCGTAGTAGGCTGAGTCCGACCTCGCTAACCACGCCCTCGTGCATCGCGTCCGCGGCCTCGATGAGCTCGGCGAGAAGCTCGCGCCTTCCCACTCCTCGCTCGGCAGACATGGCCCCTCGCGCCGAGGCGTCTGTCTGACCGTCCGCCCTGCGGTTCAGGTAGTCAGAGATGAGGGTTGCGCGAGGGTGTCGCCTCCTCTGCTCCTCGCCCTGCGCATACGCCCTCTCGAGCTTCTCATCGAAGTCACCGCGCGCCTCCTCTCTCGTCGGCGTAGCACTCCTGCTCCTGGACATCGTATATGCACGGCCCGCGGGTGTGAGCTTGGCCAGGTCCGACATGTTGATCTGGGTGCTGGCGTTGACCACGCGCGACGAGCAGACGTGGACCATGTTCCTGTCGCCCTCTGGCAGGGTGCACGGGATGACTGCGCAGAGGCGCACCATTCCGATGCCCTCTTCGTCTCTGGTCTTCTCAAGGTCGTCCTTGAGGTAGCGATGGGGGCTGCCCTTCGCCTCCTTGAAGCGGTGGGCGTACCCGTGCCGCATGAGGCGGCTGCCCCTGTGCGGCCCCTGCTCCAAGCGTGCCCCGGATCCGCCCGACATGACGATGAGGTCGTTGGGCATCATCTTCTCAGCGATGCCCCCTCTCGCGCGGACCTCGTTCTTCACGTGGGCTTCGTCCACTGCTTCAACCTCTGAAGGGCCATGCTAGGACAGAGCCTAGGATGGGTCGCCTTCCAAGGCCACCTTGACGTCGCGCCCCGTCTTGCTGTCGCCAGCGAACCCCCTCAACGTCTTTACGATGACCGAGGTATGTGCCCAGGCCGTTCGGAGGAACCATGCCACGAAGCCGACGACGGAGCCCAATCCAACAGCCATCCCGAGCGCCACGAGTCTCACGGCCGCCCACTGCAGCTTCGCCCAGTACTCGCCGAACAGGTAGCAGCCCATGGCATCGGCCATGCCCATCAGGAAGTAGAGGAGCCGATGCAGCACCGCGTCCATCGCGCGCCCCACCGTCTTGCCAAGCCACTTCAATGCCGCTTCGACCCATGCGTTGACCCACGACATGCTGAGCTGCACTCCCATGGTGGCACCAGGCGCCGAGCTCGGCCCCTCGTCCCGCGTGCCTCTCGCCGTCGACGCGCCAGGCGCGCCCGTTGGCTCGCCAGGGGGTGGCGGGGGCGGGCTAGCTCCTTGCGTCTCCGCTCCTCCGATGCCAGCGCCCTCCGCCTGCTCCGGGCTCGCCCTGGTGGCCCCGCTGGGGGGTGGCTGCATGGGTGCCGCTGCTGGGCTGGCGTCCGCGTAGCAGTAGCCTTGGTCGTAGCACTCGTGCTCACCAGTTGGCTGGGGGCGCTCGCGCGGGTCGGCCCTGGCTGTGGGCGGATCCGTGGCTGGGGGCCCCAGGAGAGCGAGGGTCGCTGCCGCCGATAGCGGCCCGGGCTCTGCCGCAGACTCCTCGATGGCTAGCAGCGTCGCGCCGCTCTCTTCGAGGCAGCTGGGCCGGGCGTCCTGACTGGGCTGCCCCTCGTGCTCCTCCCGGTCGCTCGATTCGCTCTCGCCTGGGTCTGCCCGCGGGCGGCCGTCGTCGGGCCCCACGGCCGTGGCCGTCGCGGGGACGCTGGCGTGCAGTCCTACGCCCAGAGACGCGTCCAGCTAAGTCAGCATCGCGAAGATGACCGTCGCCACGCTGCACTGGCGGTTGCAGCGGACCGCGCGACCCTTCTGGTCGCCGCCCGCACTGGAGGGGGGTGTTGGCCTTGCCACTACCCAGCACTCCTCGGAGTGCCTGGCCCGAGCCGCAGGCTGTGCAGTGGAGCTATTGCCCCGCCCGCCCACCCCGAAAAGCTGGCCCCGCACGGGGCCTTGAGCCCGGAGGGACAGAGGAGGGTGAGGCTACGGCGCGAGCAAAACCCTCTGCTACAACTAATTTCCAAGTCTGTTGGGGTCCTCCCTCAGCCATCCAAGAATGCGCTCTTGGCGTCTTGGTGGTCACGGATAGTGGATTTGGAGGCTCCGAGGGCCCTTTAGGCGCGGTGACGAGCTCGTGTCCCCCGTCAACGACATGTTGGGCCTTGAGGGGCGGGGGGGGGAAGGGGGGGATGGGACAGCCAAGTGTCTCACACGCCGTATCACCCCCGGCAAGCAGGGGTCGGCGGATAATGTCAACCAGAAAGACACGAGGCGCGATGCGGCCGGAGGCGATGCCAACAGCGCGATGGCAGAGAATGTGAACAATCGGTTCCAGAACGTGGACGGCTCCCAGACTTGCATAGCGTGGCCTCACAAAGCGGGCACGGATGTGTACAGGAGTTTGTGCGCCCCTCATATCGTGGGCATGCCAACCTTAGTAGGGGGAACAAAGTGTGCGTGTGTCAATGGCGAGGAAGGGTAAATGAACTAATGGATTTGAGGAAAGAGTAGGAGCGATGGAGATTGTTGGATTGCTACTGCGAGATCATGGGCGACCAAGCTGAGGAGGACGACGAGGACGATGAGGGTGGCGAGACGAAGGATGACAATTGTGAGAAGGAGGACGAGCATGTTGACGAGAAGTGCCCGGAGGAGGAGGGGGAGTAGGAGAATGGTGAGAGCACCGCCAGATGTGCAGAAGTCAGGATGTTTCCCTCCTCCAGAGTCGATTGGGCTCAATTCCGTCTAAAATTTACCGTCGCGGTCGCCTCTTGACCGACTCACGAGTCAGGGTGGCGCCATGGCAGCCACAGGTATGTACGACCAGCTTCGAGTTACACTCGCTGATGAGCGCTCTCGACTTGGTAAGGTCCTCGACCAGGTCGACGATGCCCTTAAATGTCTCGAGCATGGGAGCATACTGAGGGAGTTCGGCGAACAATACAGCGAACGGTCGATGGACGTCATTCGCCGTGATACGGTGCCGAGCAGCGAGGTTCAACAGGAGGTTTCGGGCAAGAGCCGCTCTGGAATTTTCAGGCGGGCAGCGACGCAGTCGACATCTAAGGCGTGGGAGTCGAAAGACGAAGACAAGGAAAAGGCCAAGCTCAAATTCAGAGCCAGCAGAACCAGCGTGGGGCCGATGGATGCAGTCGTGGCATCTGCTCCACGGCCTGTTGTAGCGCCGATGGCGAGCACGGGCGATAGATCTTCCAAAGTCAAAAGGAGTATCACCGGGATGCCTCGAAACGCGGTGATCCGCGGAGCGATTCCGAGGGTTTTCGCGAACGCGGACCAGATGAAAGAGCAGGTCCAGCAGGCCATCTTGCAGCCAGACTACGACGTGAAGGACATGTACAAGGACGAGGGATGGTTCCAGGCCGTAGCGCGGAGCTCGATATTCGATTCCATCGGCCTCTGCGTGATCATGCTGAACGCCTTGTGGCTCGCGGTGGAGACAGACTACAACGATGAAGCCCTGCTGGTGAACGCCGCCCCCCCGTTCATCATCGTGGAGAACTTGTTCTGCACGTTCTTTTGCTTCGAGCTCTTCGTCAGGTTCATGGCCTTCCAGGTGAAGCTGCATGTATTCAAGGACTCGTGGTTCATGTTTGACTTCGTCATCGTCTTCTTCATGGCCTTCGAGACCTGGGGGCTCTCGTTCCTGGTGTGGGTCACAAACGGCGCCCTCACCGCCAGCTCCAGCTCCACCTCGGTCCTCCGCGTGGTGCGGCTCTTCCGCCTGACACGAGCTCCCCGTGTCGCCCGCTTGCTGAAGTCGGTGCCAGAAATGATGGTGATCGTCCACGGCATCGTGATCGTCGCCCGTACCGTGGTCGTGATCGGGTGCCTTCTCGCTTTGATCATCTACACGTTTGCGATCGTCTTTACTCAGCTCGCAAAGGGCACTGAACTTGAAAGCACCCTCTGCCCTGACATGATGACCACCATGAAAACGCTGCTGATAGGCGGCATATTCCCGGACATCGAGCCGACCATCGACGCCATGGCGGACGAGCACTTCCTATTTGGGCTATTTTTCTTCGTTTTCGTATTGCTCGCCTATGTGATGATCATGAACATGCTGATCGGCGTCTTGGTGGAAGTCATCTCTGTGGTGGCGGCGGTCGAGAAAGAGAAAAACCAGGTGGCGGCAGTGAAGCGCGTGCTGCTGAAGTGGGCCCCGGAGGCGGACATCGGCGGGGACAACATGTTCGGCGTCAACGAGTTCAAGCACATGCTCAACACTGCGGGCTGCGCCAAGGACCTGAACGACGTGGGCGTGGACGCCGTCGCGCTGGTCGACCACGCAGACTTCATCTACCGCAACAAGGACGAGCTCACGTTCTCCGAGCTGCTCGCCGTCCTTCTCGGGCTGCGGGGCGGGAACGACCCCAAGGTGCAGGACCTCGTGCAGCTGCGCAAGTTTCTTCACGTGGAGATGCAGCGCATCGAGATGTCCGTGGACAGCCTCCACAAGGTCCTCAGCACGCAGCCGCAGGGGTCGAAAGACCTGAGCTTGAGGGACAAGGCACCAGAAGAGGACGAGGAGCACACTCCTTTGGTCTAGGCCGCATATTCATGCCACCGCACGGGATCCGATTCGAGCCTGGCTTCCGCGACCAAGACGGTCTGAGAGCCGCAGCTTGCTCATGTGACGAACACCCTCTCGGGACCACGTTCCCGGCCCCTCCCCTTCCCTGCTCTCTCCCCCCCCCCACCTCCCTGGCGACTTGCAGCCCAGTGCCAGCATTTTCTGTGGTTAAATCATCCTTTCTATACAACAATTGTTGTTGATCCCCCCCTCCGGTAAGCAGTGCACTTTTTTACTTAAAGTGCATCTCCCGTGACTCGCACCCTGCTCTTTAGCCAGAGAAAGTGGAGTGTCACTGAACTATGCCCCTGGCCCCCAGTCTACAACAACAGCGGCTCTCGCCTGATACGTCCTCACAATGTATTCCTAAATCGCGCTCTCGCGCGGGACTGCCAGACAAGTTGTACAGGAATCGCGCTCTCGCGTGGGATTTCCTCGCAAGTTATTCAGACGCCGCGCCCTCGACACTCAGGAAGTACACTCTCGTTGTGGATTTCATCACGGTTTATTTGAGGATCGCGTTCCCGCTCAAGACTTCCCCGCGATTCATGCAGGACGCACGCTTCAGCAACCCGCCTGCCCATTGTCCCTCCCGTCCATCCGTCCTCTCTTCCCCTGCCTTAGGGGCTGCACGAAGTACACGTTGCAGGTAAGAAAGGTCTGCCCACACAGGGCGGATATCGAGGGTTTTGGATATACGTGCTGAGTGGCACGCGAGCGGAGAAGAGCGAACCGACTTAGATATGTTGCTGTTGTTGTGGAACTATCATTTTTCAATACTTGTTGTTGATCCCACCCCTCCGGTAGCAGTTGTATTCTTCAGTCAAGTGTTTTTCCTGGGGCTCGCACCCCTTGTTTTATAAGGGAAAGCCAGGGGCCGCCAAACTGAGTTGTTGGGCCCCGAACTACAACAACAATGGTTCCCGCCTGATGCTTTCTCACAATGTATTCCCACATCGCGCTCTCGCGCGGGACTTCCTCACAATTTATCAGGGTCCACGCTCTCGCGTGGGACTTTGAGCAATGTATTCAGTCGCTGCACCGTCGACATTCGTGAATCACGCTCTCGCCATGGATTTCCTCACGATTCATCCATGGATCGCGCTATGGCTCGAGACCTCCGCGCGACTCATGCGGGACGCACGCTTCAGCAACCCCTCCTGCCCCTTGTCCCTTCCTTCCATCCGTCCTCCTTTCCTTTGCCTTAGGGGCTGCATGAAATACACGTTGCGGATATACCCCTAAGGGGATACGATCGAAGACGAAGAGGGCGGGTATCGAGGGTTTGGGATATACGTGCTGAGTGGCACACCAGCAGGCAAGGCAGGAACAATCTTAATTTTAGTGGTGTGACTGTTGTGTGTTGTTGTTGCAGGTTGTTGTTGTAGTAGTTAGTGTTGTTGTTGATGCTGTTGCTGTTTGTTGTTGTTGGTGCTGCTGTTGTTGTTTTTGTTCCTGCTGCTGCTTCTGCTTATGCTGTTGTTGTTGAGTCATTTCTGAAGAATAACTCTTGTTGATCCCCCCCGTCCGGTGCACATTGTTTTTTTTTCCGATTGAAGTGCCCTTCCCGGGGCTCGCACCCGTTTTTTTATCAAGTCTCGAGGGTCAATTTGTGTTGTTGGCCCCCAGTTTACAAAAACAGCGGTTCCCGCTTGAGACGTCCTCACAATTTAGCCAGGACCCTCGCTCCCGCCCGAGACTTCCTCGCGTTTTGTTCAGGAATCGCGCTCTCGCTTGGGGCTTCCTTAGAATTCCCCACATGTTTCGTGGGGCTCGGGTTTTCTTCCCTGCCGCGTCACACCCGCGTCTCCTCACAAACACCTCCCCTCCTCCCTCCTCCCCTCCTCCGCTTGCTTCCTCCATTCACCTACGCGCAACACATCCACGGCACGTACATGAGACACGAGTGAGACACGCGTGGCGCGTTCACTGCATCATACATTCAACACGCATGGACAACATACTGGGCACCCACATGAGGTACCCCCCATCGCAGACGTGCGTGTAGGATTCGCAGTGCATGGCAGGAGGCTCTATGCGGGCCATGTCGCAGAACAGGCGTTGCACTTTCTCAACATACAGCCGCAGGGCACGCGAGTGAGACACGCGTGGCGCGTTCACTGCATCATACATTCAAGACGCACCTGGGTACTTTCTCGACACCAGAAGGGGTGCGCAAGGGGTGGTCACTCAGCGCGGCCTCTATGTGTGCCAGGGTCGGGGAGCGTGGCAGGCGTGGCACTTTCTCGATACCAGAGGGGGGGGCGCAGGGGGTGGTCTCTCACCGCGGCCGCTATCCGTGACGGTCGTCCAGGGCGCAGCAGGCATGGCATATTCTCGACACCAGAGGGGGTGCGCACGGGGTGGTCTCTCAGCGCGGCCGCTATCCGTGACGGTCGCCCAGGGCACAGCAGGCATGGCATATTCTCGACGCCAGAGGGGGTGCGCAGGGGGTGGTCTCTCAGCGCGGCCGCTATCCGTGACGGTCGTCCAGGGCACAGCAACATGGCATATTCTCGACACCATAAGGGGGTGCGCAGGGGGTGGTCTCTCACCGCGGCCGCTATCCGTGACGGTCGTCCAGGTCACTGCAAGCATGGCATGTTCTCGACACCATATGTGGGTGCGCAGGGGGTGGTCTCTCACCGCGGCCGCTATCCGTGACGGTCGCCCAGGGCACAGCAGGCATGCCATATTCTCGACACCAGAGGGACAGCAGGCATGGCATATTCTCGACACCAGAGGGGGTGCGCAGGGGGTGGTCTCTCAGCGCGGCCGCTATCCGTGACGGTCGTCCAGGGCACAGCAGGCATGGCACGCCTCGGCACCACAGGGGGTGCGCAGGGGGCGGTCTCTCACCGCGGCCGCTATCCGTGACGGTCGTCCAGGGCGCACCAGGCATGGCATATTCTCGACACCAGAGGGGGTGCGCAGGGGGTGGTCTCTCACCGCGGCCGCTATCCGTAACGGTCGTCCAGGGCACAGCAGGCATGGCATCTTCTCGACACCAACGGGGGTGCGCAGGGGGTGGTCTCTCAGCGCGGCCGCTATCCGTGACGTTCTTCCAGGGCACAGCAGGCATGGCATATTCTCGACACCGTAGGGAGCGCGCAGGGGGTGGTCTCTCACCGCGGCCGCTATCCATGACGGTCGTCCAGGGCACAGCAGGCATGGCATATTCTTGACACCATATGTGGGTGCGCAGGGGGTGGTCTCTCACCGCGGCCGCTATCCGTGACGGTCGCCCAGGGCACAGCAGGCATGACATATTCTCGACACCATAGGGAGTGCGCAGGGGGTGGTCTCTCACCGCGGCCTCTATGCGTGACGGTCGTCCAGGGCACAGCAAACATTGCATATGCTCAACACCATAGGGGGTGCGCAGGGGGTGGTTTCCCACCGCGGCCGTTATCCGTGACGGTCGTCCAGGGCACAGCAGGCATGGCATCTTCTCGAGACCAACGGGGGTGCGCAGGGGGTGGTCTCTCAGCGCGGCCGCTATCCGTGACGTTCTTCCAGGGCACAGCAGGCATGGCATATTCTCGACACCGTAGGGAGCGCGCAGGGGGTGGTCTCTCACCGCGGCCGCTATCCATGACGGTCGTCCAGGGCACAGCAGGCATGGCATATTCTTGACACCATATGTGGGTGCGCAGGGGGTGGTCTCTCACCGCGGCCGCTATCCGTGACGGTCGCCCAGGGCACAGCAGGCATGACATATTCTCGACACCAGAGGGACAGCAGGCATGGCATATTCTCGACACCAGAGGAGGTGCGCAGGGGGTGGTCTCCCATCGCGGCTGCTATCCGTGACGGTCGTCCAGGGCAGCATGCGAGGGGGTGTGATTTGCACCAACTTCCGCAGTGGCCCCCCTGACTGCTCGAGCTGTGGCAAATTGTTGTTGCATCCCCTCATTGGTTGTTGCGATCCCAGGAAACGGACCTCGGTGACCACCTCGAACTTGTTCCCGATGAAGGATAGAAAGCGGGGAAGAGGGAGGAGGTTCACTCAGTAGTGTGTTGGATGACAGTATAGGGCAACATTCGCGACGAGGGTTTAGAACGCAGGATTGCGCATACATGATAATGAAGAGCAGCCGCATAATATTTAAATTAAGTGTGTGGGGTTCCTCGGTAGCGTAATTTATTCTCCCGGCGCTCTGGAGTCGCACTCTCGCTGGAGACTTGCTTGCAAGCTACTGAAAAATAACGCCTTTGCGTTGGAATTTACTCAAGCGCCGCCCTCCCGACACCCAGGCGCCCAGGAGTCGCGCTCGCGCTTAGCACTCCCTCGCCGATTACATAGGAATCGGGATCTGGCTGCCCTTCGTGGCCCCGTTGCAACCATTCGTGGCCCCCTCGCTTTGTTTCGTGGCCCCGTTGCAGCCCTTCGTGGCCCCCTCGCTGCCCTTCGTGGCCCCGTTGCAGTCCCTCGTGGCCTCCTCGCTGCCCCTCCTGGCCCCCTTGCAGTCCTTCGTGGCCCCCTCGCTTTGTTTCGTGGCCCCGTTGCAGTCCTTCGTGGCCCCCTCGCTGCCCTTCGTGGCCCCGTTGCATCCCTTCGTGGCCCCCTCGCTACCCTTCGTGGCCCCATATATGTATGTCCTTCGTGACCCCCGCTCGTTCGCGCCCGTGGTGGCCCCATATGCATCTGTCCTACGTGGCCCAGCTGCTACCCTCAGTGGCCCCATCGTTGCCTTTTGTGGCCCCGCATTATCTGCCCTGTGTGGCCCCCGCTCGTTCGCGCTCTTCGTGGCCCCATACGCATTCCCTTCGTGTCCCCGCTGTTGCCCTTCGTGGCCTACTTCGTGTCCTTGTGGCCCTGCTGTCGTTCTCTTTCGCTCTCGCTTTCGCTCGTCGTCGTCGTCGCCGTCGTCGTCGTCGTCGTCGTCGTCGTCGTCGTCGTCGTGGTCGGACCCCTGTCCGTCCCTCTTGGGGTCGGGTCGACGGTCCGCGGCCGCCCCGCCGATCAGCGCTGC